GAAAGTTTTGCCAGTTCACGGCGTCGACTTTGGATGGGTTCCATCCGAAGCACATCTGTCTGCTGGGAGATGCCGGCATATTCACCCTGAGTATTCTGTACGAAGCGGTGGAAAGGCTCGGGCTCTTCCCGCGACATTTTATGTGGATGGTTTTTCCGCTGATAGATAAGCCTGCAGGAGGACATCGTGCCATCCTACTCCTCGCTAGTTTTGTTCGTGCCTGGGAAAGACTACGCCGCCCCATGTTGGACCCTTTCTTTGCTGAAACGGAGAGGGACTACTGGGCTTTCGGAGCGGGGAAGAGTGCTGAAGGTTGCGTTTGGGCCCAAGCGGCCCTTTCGGAGGTGGCGAATACCAGGGATCAGGTTGTCTTGGGAGTTCAGTGGGACGGGAAGAAGTACTACGAATCTTTCCAGCTAGAACTTCTACGTGGTAGAGCGTACAGATGTGGCATCCCTAAGGTTATTGTAAAGACTATGTACAACCTGTGGAGGTGCCCCAGACTGGTTCGTCTAGGCCCAGCTTTTCACACAGTGGCTCTGTTTGCCTCCAGCGGTCTTCCTGCAGGTGATGTTTTCAACGATGCATTTGTGAAGGTGTATGCGCTTGAGGCCTTCGATGCTTACATGATGGGACACCCGACGATTCGCCTATCCTCGTACATCGACGATGACATGATACTGGGGATGGGGGACAAAGCTAGCCTACTTCGAGCAGTGCCTGCAGCAGCAGCCGATGTTCATCAAATGTTTCAGCAGGAGCTAAAAGCAGATATCTCGGAGTCGAAGGCGGTTACGATAGCTAACTCGGTCGGTCTAGCGAAATCCCTGGCCCATCAACTTCGCATCCGAGGATTGCCCGAGGGGATGGTCACGTCGGCGTCGCTCAACCTCGGGGTAGACTTCGCTCCAGGACAGTCTCGGTCGGCTAAAGGGGGGCTTCGAAAACGACGGACTCGATTTCAACAATTCAAGCTTCGACATCAGCTAGTATTACGAGTTCGAAGATGGTTGGCACATGGAAAGCATCGGATGTCTAAGATTCACACGGCAGGCTTGAAGCCAGCCTTGTTTTACGGCAGTGCGGTGCTGGGCATGAGTGATCACGAGCTTAGACGAGCTCGGGCTACGCTCCTCAGCTTCAAGGCGCCCTCGCATCGAGGAGCCTCGCTAGTGGCGAAGTGCGTGTTTCATGGCGACCCTGTTGCAGATGCCGCCGCGGCGCCTGCGGTGCAGTGGGCAGCCACGATCTGGCAGGCGGCGGTCGCGCAGAAGCGCTCTCTCTTCACCATGACGCAGCTCGCAGATATGTTTCAGCAGTTGCATGCCAATTGGGATCCTGAGATGCCTTGGAGAAAGACGAAGGGCCCGATCGTTCGAATGTTGATGTGCCTCCAGAGGGTCAACTGGGAGCCTAAGAACTTCACGGAGTGGATTGATGATCGAGGAGTCGAGCTCTCTCTGCTGTATACCTCCCCTTCCCTCATCAAGCATCTCCTACGTGAGGCCGTCCAGAGACAGCATGAGCGTGACATGGCACGTAGCTTAGGCATGCAAGGAGATGGTGCGCGCGTGCGTGTTGACTTGGTACGCTCGTGCGTGTGTAGGTCGAAGAAGTACAGTGCACGACAGAAGTATGACATAGCTAGTTGTTTCACTAAGGCTGTGTTCACTAGTGATCGCTTGCAGTCCCATGGATATGAGTATGATGGGAAGTGTCCGTTGTGTGGCGGGCCTGATGGCCTCCATCATAGGTTGTGGTGCTGTCAAGCCCCTGAGGTGGTCGAGGCCAGGCAGAATGCGTGCAGTGCGGAGATAATCGCTGAGGCTGTCCAGGCGGGGCGCGAAGATCTTTTGTGGAACCGTCTG